CAATGGAACCAACATGGAGCTCCGAGCAGCAGCACGGAGCTGGGAGAATAGTGAATACATAAAATCACTTTCCTAAGGAAGCATATAGAATGGATGTTCAATCCTCCCGCAGTTTCACACATTGGAGGGGTGTGGGAACGACAAATTCGAACTGTACGTAAGGTCCTCTGGGCAATTGTGGGCTCATAGGTCCTGGACGACGAACGCCCCCTTACACTGTTTTGTGAAGTGGAAGCAGTGGTGAACGAACCGCCTATTACGCCAGTCTCAGAAGACGCCAGGGACCTAGAAGACCTCACATTTTTTGCTCATGAAGCAAAACACCGATCTCCATCTGGGTGGCTTTAGTGTTGGGGAAGTATTCCACAGATGGTGGAAACATGTGCAGTTCTTGGCGGATCAGTTCTGGAAGCGTTGGCTCAAGAAATACCTACCTTTGCTCCGTCAACGGCAGAAACACCTCAAACCTCTTTGCAACTTTCAACAAAACGACCTGGTCATTGTGACTGGAGAACTACTGCCTCTACTGCCTCGGGACCAATGGCAGCTAGGTAGAATAGTAGAGGCGATGCCCAGCGATGATGGACTAGTACGTCGGGTTCAGGTAAAGACTGCACGCACCATTTTGATTTGCCCAGTGACCAAATTGTGTCTACTGGAAGGGAGTGCAAATTAATAATTCCCTGCTCTTTGGTGTCTTGGGCGTAATCGCCCAATGGGGGGTGGGGTTTATCGCTTCACTAGGCAGCGGCCAATATGTGGGTGGTGAGAGGAGTGTTGTTGTTGTACCAAGCGAACAGGCACTGACTCAGTCCTACTATAATGAAGCCAGGGGTAGACCATCCTGAATCAGCTTGATGTATCTGCCCGGGTCTTGAGACGATAATATATAACCACCAGTACATCTCAACTGATCGTCCTAAACACACCGAGGCTTTCTGCTCTGAGCCAGACCTGCAATACGTAAGTGTGCTCGGAAACCTATTATGTTTCATTGTGGACGTGAAAAATATTAATTGAACAACTTCTGATGATATGCAATTTAAAATATAAAGAATCCATTTATGTGATATTATAAAGAAAATGTATTCATATATTATATGTCACTGAACCTTCAGTTCCACCTTGTAAATTGATTATTTGTATTTGGCAGGTTTGGCTGAAATAAACAGCATCGAGTTGACGTAGCAGGTTAATCTTCTTACTGGGCGATCATAGATGTGACTTTTAATTTTGTGTAGGATTAATTTATGTGTTCTTTTAATGTAGTACAGTGTTCATGACCAAATGAACTATTTCATTGATGTCAAAATAATTATTGTATTAACATTTATAACTTTTTGTAAACTCCAGAAGGGGATGGCAAAGGTGAGGGCGGGAGTAGTAAACTACCTTGTCCTTTTGATGTAATAGTTTTATTGTCAATAAATTATTTCAATTTCCATTTCAATTTCCCTCCGGCAGAAACGGAAGGGCTATCAATTTACGCAGGTACTTGTATGTTCCGTCACCATGTGTGTACGCATGTTGCATATCGATCTCTTGCACCTATAATAATAAAAAAAAAACTATGACCGGATCTAACAGCTGACAAGTACTTAGCTCGAGATACATCAGTATCACATTTCCTGTGCTGCCACTTCCCACACCCGTCAAAGTGCAGACCTTCTTGCCGTGCCCATACAGGCACATTGCATTGAATGCAATAATCTTGACAGTCTGCCATCTTACCATTGACTGACTAACTCCGCTGGACTTTAACAATCACGAAACCTACAGACGATATTTTCATAGTTTCGAAAACTTTATTAAAGTTCAGTTCTTTACCTTAATACATTACTGAACCTAAATAAAACAAGTAACAAAACAGGTGTGGGCGAACCGACTCGATAGTGTGGGTGAATCAACTTTAAATGTAGGTAAAATGAATTATGGGCGAAATGACTAATTCCCAAAACTTAAGTCTTTGTTGAGCAAGACCCATTATTAGCTCAGTTGGATCAATCACTTATAAGTTGAATAAATGGTTAGTTTCCTTACTAAACCCCCTATTGGAAATATATCAAACGTTAATATTAAGAAAAATGTAAATTCAATTGATAAACTCAATAGCTTACACATTAATTATCATTTTAAACTGATCAGTTTTGATGTAACATCACTCTTGACAAAGGTCCCAGTACATGATTTGCTGGAGTTCATCACAGGTGGCTGCATTTACAAGGTTCCTTGCAAGGAATGTAATATGTTTTACTTAGGCCAGCCGGGAAAAGATCTTATAACTAGACTTAAACAGCATAAATATAGTGTTAGGACAGGCCAAGAATCCTATGCTTTTTCATTCATATGAAAGATAATAAGCATTGAATTGACCTTGTAATTCAATTGTCAATAGGAACATTATAGAATTTTATCTCATTAAACATACCGAATCTGTGAACATGATTTTGAGTAGTGGCATGCACAAATTGGACAATTTTGTGGTTAACAAGATTTGTAACCTGAATATGGTGGACACCTGCTGTCCCTACGGACTTGATTTCACTCTCCATCGTGCCCAGTTCGCTATATAGTTCGACAAAACAATAATGGAGGGAATATTTGGAGAAGTGAGCTCGCGCCTGTATTTAACGTCGGTGCACTTGCAATGAACACTTCTCAATATATCGCTTTCCTGCGAACAGCAGTCAAACAGTAATAAGAATACACAACAACATGTAAATATTTTATTTTTTCTGTAGCTATATCGGTCTTATACAAATAATTTCCTATAGTATATTAGAGATGAGATAATCATGGTCGTGGTTGTTATAATCATGGTCGTAGTTGTTATAATCATGGTCGTGGTTGTTATAATCATGGTCGTGGTTGTTTTAATCATAGTCGTGGTTGTTATAATCATGGTCGTGGTTGTTATAATCATGGGCTTGGTTGTTATAATCATGGTCGTGGTTGTTATAATCATGGTCGTTGGTGTTATAATCATGGTCATGTTTGTTATTATCATGGTCGTGGTTGTTAAAATCATGGTCGTGGTTGTTATAGTCATGGTCTTGGTTGTTATAATCATGGTCGTGGTTGTTATTATCATGGTCGTGGTTATAATCATAGTCGTAGGAGTTATAATCATAGTCGTGGTTGTTATAATGATGGTCGTGGTTGTTATAATCCTGATCGTAGTTGTTATAATCATGGTCGTGGTTGTTATAATCATGGTCGTGGTTGTTATAATCATGGTCGTGGTTATGATCATGGTCGTGGTTGTTATAATCATAGTCGTGGTTGTCATAATGATGGTCATGGTTGTTATAATGATGGTCGTGGTTGTTAAAATCATGGTCGTGGTTGTTATAATCATGGTCTTGGTTGTTATAATCATGGTCGTGATTGTTATTATCGTGGTCGTGGTTATAATCATAGTCATAGGTGTTATAATCATAGTCGTGGTTGTTATAATGATGGTCGTGGTTGCTATAATCATGATCGTAGTTGTTATAATCATGGTCGTAGTTGTTATAATCATGGTCGTGGTTGTTATAATCATGGTCGTGGTTGTTATGATCATAGTCGTGGTTGTTATAATCATGTTCGTGTTTGTTAAAATCATAGTCGTGGTTGTTATAATCATGGTCGTGTTTGTTATAATCATAGTTCTGGTTGTTATAATCGTGGTCGTGGTTATGATCATGGTCGTGGTTGCTATAATCATGGTCGTGGTCGTGATACTTACAGTATCTAATATACTATAGGAAGGAATAGACTAAAGTTATAATAATTAGTTAAAGAAATATTCGCCATAAGGAGAGATATAAGTACACACTGTAGTCTCGTAAGGTCCGAAAATGCTCTGGTAAAGTTGAAACTGCGCAGCCAGACGCATGATGAAACTCAGCTCCCCCCCCCTGTTATCTCTCTGTTTTCCCTTCTTTCTTCTATTTACTCATCTTCCTTCCTTTACTAATCCAAACAACATTAAAAAAAAAGTAGGCTAAGAGAAAAAGTGGAGGGAGGAGGAGGGAGCCGTACGATAACTGCAATCGTTCGGCCGGCTGACAGCGTACAGCGACATCTGTTCCCAGCGTAAATAAAATCGTTAATTAATGCGTTCCTAAAGAAACCATCGACATGGGACCAGGTTTGTTCCATTCTACGAATTTTTTGCGATTTTTCCACGAAGTTTGATGAAAAACGATTGTGCCATTTCGTCTGGCCAGAACAGACAGACACACGGCTAGTCCTATAGTATATATATATATATATATATATATATATATATATATATATATATATATATATATATATATATATATATATATATATATATATAGAGAGAGAGAGAGAGAGAGAGAGAGAGAGAGAGAGAGAGAGAGAGTATTATACAGATAACTTCAAACAATGAATACATTAAAAACTCCTGATATATGAGTTCTGTCCAACTGCTTCTTATGTGTTCATTCGAAACCGATTTCCCCATTCTATTTTCATAATAGAGTGGATACTCCTATCACGAATGTTTTCCTCCCTTTAGTAGTATATTAACACATCATCATCCATGAGCATTAACGTTGGCCGATATTCACTTTAATATCCTTTCCAGTTCTTTTTGATGAGTCTGTGCTCGAATCAAACTGTTATGTTGTCAGTTCGAATCTACATGTTGGTTGGATGCAACAGGCCATGTTGTGTATAACGGGTGTATAACGGGTGAATAACGCACGGAACTGTAAATTAGCTGAACAGGAAATGATATTTCATTCGAGACCGGGGTTCATTCTGGCTTAGGTGTTAACATCACCCCCCAAAGCTGTGAGTTTTGCACTGTTACTAGACCAAGAGAAGAATGAGCTGGCTGTAGAGTTGTGCACATACTTTCAATTAATGACTGTACGAAGACCGATCTTGTGAATTTGTTGAGGAAAGAGCAATAATACTGCCATAGCATAGTAGAAATTCAGAGGCCGAGTGTGTAGGTTTATCAAAAACAGAACAATAACACTGACCGAAGAGTAGGAGGAGGAGAGGACCGATGAAGGAGCCCATGTCAATAGGTTGATGACCTCCCCGACGACGGTCCAGCTTAGGGTGTCGGAGGCAGTGTGAGGAGTTAGCCAGTTGGTCTCCCAGCCACTTGTCCCACAAACCCGCCTCCAACAGTACCCGTACTCTACACCCAGTAAGAGAGTCCCTTGTTAACTTATCTATACCAGAAGAATTTTGCGAATTTTGTCCAATGGAAAACTCTCGGAATAATTCTTTAACCTATGTGATTTCTTTTTCACTGTGGATTTTCCCTGGAAAGATTTTTTCTATTGAAATTTATTACAACCACCTAAATAGATGCCGTTAATAATAGATAAATGTTAACTGTTGCATTACTTAACAACAAAACCAAAATCTTTTCAGACAGTTCCCCTGTGTCAGGTATATTTCCTCTCCAGTTATACTTTACAAAAAGTTTATGTGTGGAAACTTTTGTATTTGTAATCATGTAATACAGCATGTATGTCATAAAGCATAATGAATTTTATATCCTTGTATTCTAATTAATCTGATTTTGTATTGATAAATATCTAAGTAAACTATGTGAATCAACTTTGTGAATAAACTCTGAGAATAACCTCTCTTATTTCTAAGCCTTCAGCTTACATGTAGTTTGTCTTGGCGAGGTAAGGGGAGTTTTTAGGGAAGGCGAGGCACAGGAAGAGGTTACTCAACACCTTCTCTCGTGTGATGTACAGATGACACTCTCCAGTCGTGCTGAAACCATGGTCTTTGTTGTTATGTCTTGCTATATATATTTTGTTTCTAGCCGTTTGTGAACGTTATCAACGTGGAGAGTCTTAAGAGAAGTTAATATTTACCTAAATAAAAAAGTAGAAACAAAAACCAGTGTAATCACATGAAATTATCAATGACCTTTACGACAATCTTACAGTAAAGTTACGACCGAAAATCCTTCGACACTTGATAATATCTGGCATCTGCAATTGAGTTATGGATTTGATTGTATTGTAACTTATTATAAATTGAGGTAGATGTCGAAAAATTACCAAAGGTGTTGAGGAAATTTCGTCATCCACTGGACTGTACATCATCCTACCAGCAGCACCTACCTGAAGTCCTCAGCCATGGCCTTCAGCATGGATATGTCGTCGCAGATGGCAGCCAACTTACCATCAGCGATGTTCTGCCGCTCAGCCAGACAGGTCTTGATGGTCGGCCCTTGATGCATGTGAGCCTTCTGGTGTAGCTCGTACTCAGACTCCTTTCACGTGAACAAATCATGAATCAACGACATATTCTTTGTTTCATATAGCAAGAGGGAAAAAATATAAAAGACGAGTGGAGGAGAGAAGAAAAGGAAAGGTTTTCAGCAAACAAATGGAAATAACACGATAGGATGTAAATGGAAGACAAATCAGCTGATGTTTGCAAACGAAGCTACTCTGGTGGTGACTCGTTAAAAAGTTTTGAAGTTGTTAATTATATTTCATTTCTTTTATGAATTTTTTCTCAGCCTAACTTCCAATGACCAACATTAATCTAGCGTAAAAGAACCTACCCTTAGTTCTGGATTTAAGATTACTCCTGATTACGAGTAAAATTACCTCAAGGAAGGTTAGCATGAAGGAGCCAGACACAGTACGCCAGGGTAGGTCAGACTGAGACACCAGATCAGCCAGGGAATCTATGGGGATGGTAACCCGAGGCACCGTCAACATGGCCGTCAGGATGCCACCGTAGGAGGTCATGAACACTAAGGAGGCCAGGAGCCACGTGATCACTATGAGGCGTCCTCCGTCCTCTTTGGGCAGCCACTCAGAGCCTGTAGGAGGATGGAGGAAGGGTAGAGAGCCGAGGATGTACTGTACCAAGCAAGTGTTTACCTGTATAATATTTGTTTGGATGTTACTTGTACCAGTACAAGTTGTGAGCGAACTAATAGGTGGAACTTCTGACTGAATTCCATACTGATGTAGGTAACTGTTAAATCCGAGAAAACTAATTGATATTTTTTTTATCCGTATTTCCAGAAAATAAAATATATTATGCCTTCATTATTATCATTATTTTTATTATTATTATTATTAATATTTTATAATCGGCTTGATTATAAAAGTCTCATCTTTTGTGTACGTACAGTTGCCTTAAAGAGTTCCTTTACCCCTTTTATTATGTTTACGTATATGAGGCAGAGTTGTAATAATACAGTAAATTTATGGAGATAATTGATGGAAAAGATTCCAAAACATAATTTCGCTTGCTAATAATGATAAATCACTTTAAAAAAAATCAGCAAGCACATAGATTTTCTAATAAGGAAAAATATCAATATGAGTGATAAGGCTTTAAAAACGCACACAAGGAAATTGTGTAATACGTGAGGACCATACGCCATGAAGCTTCTTCACACAAGGACATTGGCGTCGCTACACATGTCTTTAATAAATCACACAATGGATCATACAGTGGTTCAAAGTACTGAAATCCTTAGAAAGCATATATGTGTATTCCGATCCATGCACGATATGTATTACAATTGTACAAATCAATGCAACAATGGGTGGTGGACGAGTGGAACAAGCTTAGCAACTTTGTAGTAAGTGCTGGAACGCTGGAAAGTTTTAAAAGGAGGCTAGATAGATTCATCGATGATAGAGAGTGGTAGTAACTCTCGACAGGAGCTGCCATACAAAGGCCAACCAGCCTAATGCAGACACCTTATTTTCTTATGTTCTTATATTCTTAATAATATATTATGGAAATATGAATATAAGGGAATATGAATCTTAGGAGGCCTAGCATAGCCACGATTTCTGTTGGGTCATTTACCCCACACCGGTTGACCCCCACCCCTTTCAGTCCAACTCCATAGAATGACTTACCTGCTGGTTATCTCATAGATGATAAGTTTTCTGGTAGTAAAGTCAGCTACTCCTACCAATATGAAGTGTTTTATTATTAGTACTATAAACGTAAAATATTTTGCTATCGGTGTAAGTCTGGTGAATGTTTTAAATAACTGAAAAAGTATATTATTTGTAACCCTCTTTTAAAATCAGTACACGGTTATTCACCTATTACCTTTGATTCCAGGTGGTTCTCTTACGCTGCCCCGTGCTGATGCCCGCAGCCTGCCACCCCGAAGATGCTTTGGTGTCATAGAGTGTGCTATTTGGTCGCCATCTGTGGAGACGACCTTGGGTGGTAGACGCAAATGATTTTTCGTCCGTGAAAATAATCCGGTCTCTCATCCTCATCAAGACGTGCCTATCGATGATGATCTTCTAATTTTATGTATTTACCAGGCTGCTTCTCGAATTATTCCAGGTGAAACTTCTGGTTACAATCGGTCTCTCAAGGCAACCGGTTTTTGTAATTGGGGAGCAGCTTCCAAAAGTCGCCTGCCATCAGTTTGGGTAGTTTTGTTCGACTTGCCACGCCATGATTGGTCTCTAAGATTCCCCAACTCTTCCCATAATCTGACACAATTTGTCCAAACGAGTGAGTCAGGTTAACAACACATATCTCACACTATATCCGAATCACATCTAAATCGAATTTTTAAAACCTTATCATAGAGGGAAAACAGTTTTCCTCTCCTTAAAAAGACAGCCAGTTGTGTAACAGGTATTAGCTAAGCTGAGAAAACTGTAGAACCCACCGCGGCGTCGCATATCGTTTGTTTCCGGACAATTTGCTTCAGAATATATCTGGTTTCGGCCTTGGTGTGAAAGCATCCTTAGGCCAAGGGCACACACTAACTACAACGCACGGGGACACTTCTTTGGCCAAACATTGCTCATCTGGGTTGTTTAATGCTCCTTCTTCTCTCCCTATGATTAATGAGCACCACTGCAAGTGTTTGGTTAAGGGGTCATTGTGTATTTTTTATTGATATTCTTGATTTTAATATATGTTATGTATCCATATACTGAGATGATTATATGCAAGTTTCATGTCATTCGAAGGTGTATTTATTTATTTTTTGTTTATTAAATAAAACTTGAAATTCGGAAGAAAAAAATGTTGAGATAACAGCCAGCATGAAAGTCTTCAATGGCTGTGGTGTTTTTTCCAAATTTGGCAGTCGTACTTTCCCATGAGAGCAGCACAGTCCAGCAGATTCTCCTTTGTACTTCTTTGCACCGCAGTGTTCACATTTCTTATCCATGTTGCCAATGACAACAGAGGGATACTTTTCATATTCTATCTCATTGTCATTGTTAAATGCTGCTCTTGCAAGTGGATGCCACTGTGTATTTTTTCTTAGAATTCTGGATCCCGCAGCTCTGTCTATTAGCATTCAAACGAATTGCATGCACTTGATCATTTTCTAGAGAAGGCCTTTCTGCTGTTTGCTATCAGTAAGCATTAAGACGGGATTCCCTTTCCTGATCTGTTTCCTGTGACCGACTGTCCGCTGTTCGCTTTCTGTTAGCATTAAGACGGGATTCTCTTTTCTGATCTGTTTCCTGTGACCGACTGTCCGCTGTTTGCTTTCTGTTAGCATTAAGACGGGATTCCCTTTCCTGATCTGTTCCCTGTGACCAACTGTCCGCGGTTCGCTCCGGGCGGCTCATCCTCTAGGCCACGGTAGGATGTCACCCTCCGGGAGGCTCCACATTGTCTCACTGCTCAGTTCCCAAAATTTCTTCTTATCAATAGTTCATTAACGGTGTATGTAAGTTCCACCATGATTTTCACTACAACGGTACAACAAAGTATATTTTTTTAGTATTAAACTGTTATTATTATATTGTCTAATCATCAATACATATTACATCATCCATCATCACTACATATAACACCATACATCACCACTACATATAACACCATCCATCATCACTACATATAACACCACCCATCATCACTACATATAACACAATCCATCATCACTACATGTAACATTATCCATCATCACTACATAGAACACCATCCATCATCACTACATATAACACCATCCATCATCACTACATATAACACCACCCATCATCACTACATATAACATCATCCATCATCACTACATATAACACCATCCATCATCACAACATATAACACCATCCATCATCACTACAGATCGGTAAATTGTTTCCGAGATTCTCGTGCCGACACACATACAAACAAACACACAAACAAACACACACACAGACATACTTCTTTGTTATATATTTATATATATATATATATATATATATATATATATATATATATATATATATTTAGATCACCTACTTTAATTTTCCATAAGCTGTGAGGTGTCATGTGCTGTTCACGTGAGGGGAAATTCCTCTAACAGTAAGCCGACCTTGAGAATGCAGGGTTAGCCTGGCCTCGCCTTCAGAAGCACCTCTCCTCACCTCACAGGCACCTCCCCTCAGGAGCACCAGTTTTCACTTGAGCCTCACGAGAATCGGATGGGTGACTTAACTCAGTCAAGCTGAGCCGCGTCCTTAACTAACACTCACAGCTTACAGTGTTAATTATGGTGCATCTACTAATAGACTGACCAATATAGTTTTACCAATGAATGGAGAAAAGACCATTTTGGGTTTGTAACTTAACCCCTTAACTTATTTATATATAAGCCAAGTTAAGGGAACTCTACCCAAAGCTTATATATATAAAGGTGGCAGCAAATAGATAGATTCATTAACTGAACCAGTGAAGCAGTGTAACTAACTCAGCAAGAACCGACGTCACTGTATGAAGGTTCCAATTGTTCCCTGAAGAATGCAGTGATGGGTAGGGAAACACCGGGTAACACTGAAGTCCATTTATTATGGATGAGAGAAATACAAGTGGTGACTAGCGTGTGCCATGCACGGCTCACACAGTCAGACTGAGACTGCCTTGCCATATGGCAGCCTCGGGGCAATGTTGCCACATAACACGTGCAGTGTTGCCACGTAATTATATACATAGATGCTACTCGGCACAGTAGCTTATATACAAGGTTGCTACTCGGCACAGTAGCATAGATACATAACCTACATCTCCCTTCCCCCCTCACGCTCATAGTCTTTGTCTTGAGCGGACTTCTTAGTCCTAAGTCGCTCCGAGCGTCGAGGTGCACTGTGGGGCGGATCCTCGTGAGGTGTAGGGGACTCGTCCTCGGTCAGAGGGCCAGCAGCAGGGGGTGGGACTGGCTGGAGGAAGCGGCGGTTCCTCCACCAGACACGGCCGCTCGGCATCCTGACCTTGTAGTCCCGCGACCGGCCGACGCCCATCACTATGCCCACCTTGTCCCAACGTGTCGTCGTCGGGTCCTGGACGCGGACAATGGCACCAATCTCCAGTGGCTGAAGAGGGCGGGCACGGTCGTCATACCGAGCCTTGGCGTCCTGGGCACGTGAAGCGGCGCGGCGGTCGCAGCTCTCGGTTCTGGTCTGCCACTCCTTCGCAAAGGCCTTGGCGTGTGCAGGAACGCAAGAGCGGAGAGGGTGACCATACAGGATTTGGGGAGGGGAGCGCCCTGTGTGGGTAGGAGTATTACGTAACTCCAGCAGTCCTTTGTCAAACGCCTCACAGCCTATGTTGCCTGAAGGGGCCACCTTGAGGACGAGGTGCTTGACTGTCTTGACCGCAGCCTCAGCATGGCCGTTTGACTGTGGGTAGTGGGGTGTTGACACGATGTGGCGGACTCCCCAACGCTCCAGGAATCCTGTGAAGTCCCGGCTGGTGAACTGTGGCCCACCGTCCGTCCGCAGACGTACGAGGACGCCCAGGTCACGAAAGAGGTGCCGGAAGTGGCGAATGGTGGCCGCGGACGTCGTGTCCGAGCCACAGATTACCACCACAGGCCAGCCAGAGAGTCAGTCGGCG